CTCACGATTTGTGTTGAAGGCCAGTATAACCAGCTGAGTTTCTTCCAGTTTTTTCTTTTTGTCTTCCCTTCTCTTTTAAATTCTTAATACTCTTGTCAGCGTTGGAGTTAACTGACTGAAATGACTGATCTGATGAAGTCATGGAGGATGGAACAATATTTTCCGATCATTACGTGTCGTTTTCTTTAGAAAATGATTAACTGGGAGAAAAAAAGCTGCAGTTATTGACTGGTGGTAACTAGACTGATTGTACATCTGTATACATTAGAAGTCATTTGTGGCCATACAGGTTGAAGGTTGGATTCAGCTTTGGCTGCTGTGTAGCTTGATTGTTACATTACCTTACAGCCACAGTGGAGCTTGGCGTGTTGGCTGCAGTGGAATATCTTCAGTAGGATTTTAGACAGAATTCAGATGGGATGAGTTAACAGTCTAAATGGAATTCATTTATGTTGAGAATCATTTAGATGCCAAAAATTTTTTGTCAATAAGAGGAGTTCAGAATTGGATGCGATTAGATGATCTAGCTGGATAGTGTGAATAAACTTGCCAGTTTCATAATGGTTTTAGAAGGTAGGTACTTTACAAGTAAAAGCATAGCTGAGATTGTTTTATCATGAAAATGAATTTAATTATGTTCTTTTAAGTGTAAAATGATTTTAAACTACTAAGGAACCTCAAGTCAGTTGTCACTTTCTGAAAGAACTGAATGCTATATGGATAAGCACCAATAAAAGTTGGAATGAAGACAAGTAAAACAGCTAGAATGCATTGGATGTAAGTTGTTAGTGTAATAAAAAACCTTTTTAATTCTTTCATTTTATATCAATTCTCCAGCACTGATGAATGCGTGTGTATGAGCAGAAAGAATTCTATACTTACCTCATAACTGACTGATCAGGTTTTTTCTAAATTTTATTCACTTTTTAACCAAAGCTAGAAAAATTCTCATCATTGGAAGAAAGTACTGACAACATTGATTGTCTTTAAGGGAGAATCCTAGGAGAGAAACTATAAATAAACTGCATATGTTACCCAATGTTTTGCAGTAATTACATTTTCCCTTCCTTGGAGTCTTCCTCAGAAAAAACCACTGAGCGTGTGCATATAGGTGTCTAGGTCTATGGTTGCCAATACTGTCTGGGAGGGTAGTGGGAAAATTCAATAAGTAACTGCTTGTGAAGAATTCTAGGAGATAGTGGAGACTTGCCCATTGATTGCTTGAAAGAAATGATGGCAGAGTTATGGCATACAGTGATGGTAAGAGGTTTTACTTGTTTTGTCATTGGGTCTGTTTATTTGTGCTCTTTTATATTATCAAACCTTTTTTAAGGTGGTCTTTGGAATGCTTAATTGGTGTTTTGTAGGGTGCCGATTCATTGACAAGTGTCTTGTAATGGCATGTTTTATACAGTGTTTTATATAACCATAGCAGTTGTGTTCTCTTTTGATATGTGCCTACAACAATGAACATTTTGTTGCCCTTTGTTATGTGCATTTGAATCTCACAACTAAGATTTTCCAAATAGCATCGATCACATGAAATTTTATATGATTATGGAAACCAATGGGTATTAACTAAAGTCATTTAAAACACGTCTTGTAATTTGTTCTTAGATCTAATCTTTGATCTGATTTACATCTGTATTATCACATATACTTGTAGGTACAGGTATCATAAGGTTGGCAATTTTCTAGTGGTCAAAATATACATATTAGCATTTCCCATAATATTAACACTATGATACCCTTAAAGTTAAAAAGTAAGAAGGGAGTAAACATTGTAAAAGTTATATAGAATGCATATAACCCTTTAAAGTCAATGCATCTATTTTTTTAGCAGCCAGTGTTATTCCTGGGTCAGAGATGATGCACATAATAAGAAGATTGCAGTGTGTTAGTTGAGACAGTTCTTGTCTTCTTAAAACACAATGGGTGGAATATGAGGTCTTTGTGCCTTCATATTGCTTGTTAGAATTGCATGTAGCTGAAGTGAATTGGATATTATTTTCTATAGGAAGAATCCAGTGAACACGATGCCAGTGACCCCAAAACTGTTGTCAGGAAAGAATTTCTAAAGGCCACTCTTATTTCATAAGAGCCATGGCATTCATTGACTTGGTCTTCATTCATACTTGCAGTATCATTGCAAATTTCATTTTAGTATTGCTTTATTTGTTGCATCAGAATATACTTGAGTACCCACAAAATATCAGTCTTTTTCTGTGATTTACTCTAGCTGAAACTTTTAGTGCC